CTATTTCAATTGACGCCCCACTGCTCGCGCCTCCTGGAAAAGGCAGCTGGTATTCACCGCGTCGAAACATCCCCGCGCATCCACCGTCGCCGCCGCGGGGCGTTCGCCCGGCAGCTTGGGCACCTCAGCCAGATCGTTGCGCGCGAACACCGACCGAGGAAGCTTAACCTGACCGATTGCCCCGCGCCATCTCAGACGGGGGCCTCTTCAGCCACTCGCGCGACAGTGGCCTTCTAATACGCGGCCAAATCCGCGCAATGGTGTGCATGAGGGCCGCCAACCTGGTACCGCTTCCATCCCTGGGAATCCTCGCGATTCCCGAATGCATGCGCGGAGATGACCAAGCTGGCAGCCCCCCAGGCTTCACGAAGAAACTCGTCATAGCCACCAGCGCCTCCGTCGACAGAAGCCACTGCGAACGGGGCTGCAGCTTCGAAGGCCCAGCCGCCGTCTCCAACTTAATAGTACCCCCCCCCCCCCCCAAGCATCGCAGCAGACACGCGCGGCAACGCGCGCCCCGGCCCATGATCTTCTGGCAGCGTCGGGGCCCCAACTCCATGAATATTCCACGCCTTTTTGCCGCGCCCCTAACTCGCGCTCAGCGAGCTCGCGGGGGGATTGCTCAGCGCCTGCCGCCATGATTTTTTGAACAGCCTGAGTTCGCGTAAAGATGCGCGCACCACTGGCCCCTTTCTCGACGGGCTGACCCGCCCGCGTCTGACCCCCAAGCGAGATGCCTGCGGCCATGCCCGCCCTGCTGCTCCTCGTGCAACTTGCCAGTGCTATCCGCCACGCGCTCTAGACCATCGCGCGCCAACAGCCGGAGGCAGGGGCCAGGCGCGCGACAGTCAGCCACCCAATTCGGCGAGGCCTCGAGCGTCTTACTACACTGCCGAACTCCGCGCGCACAACCCCGACACTCCACCGACGCGTTCGCCACGGGAAGCAGATCATCGCCATCTGCCAGCACGCGCTCTCCATTCTTCCAACCCAACAGCTTGTCGACGAGCTGGGTTATATAGACGCGTGCTCTAAGACAGTGCGCGCTCGGCTCTCGAGCCGTGGACAGAGCGCGCAATGGCAAGCCACGATGCGTTCTCGCATGCGCAGGGCGCCACCTGGTCTGCTTGAGATCCGCCCATCGCGAGGAGTCCTCCTCGCCCAGACGTCGCGCGAGCCTTGTCACCCTCGACGCAATCGCGCGCGCATTGCAGCTCAAATTAAGTGCCGCCAACTAAAGAATCCCCAGCAACAGTGAGGTCATCCGCGCTCTTGGCATAAGAAGCTCGTCGTTCGACCCTGCGCCAATTCACGGGGAAGCGCGCATCCAATGGGCAGCGTCTTAGCGAAAGGCGCGGGCTCAACCGCCATCCTCGCCCAAGACTCCGTGTCCTCAGCCAGCAGTGGGAGCTCCGCGGGCGGACGCACCTCGATGCTGCTGTCATCGATCGCCGCAGGGCTTCGCACCCGCGTAGCAAGATTGCTGCATATCAGTGCATAGCCAACGATGCGGCCTGCAACTTCAGCAACGCACGCGGGCCGCAAACGTTCAGCAATGAAGCCGCCTGCGCCATTGGCCCATCCATCTGGCAAGCTGCTGGACGGCGCATCCCAACCCCCCGCCGCGATCCAACCCTTGCCAGGCCCATTGAGCCCAGCGATATACCTGCCAAGGGTCGCAAGCAACGCCTTACTATCGACGCTGTGCCCCTCTCCAGATGAGGCAGACAGACAGCCACCACTCCGCCCAGCACTGACCAAACCACACCAGCAGCAACGATCCTCTCAGGATGCATGGCATGGCTGTCTCTCGCGGGGAGGGGGGGGGCTTCGCCGCAATCTGAGAAGGCGCCAACGCCGTAAAACCGCCAGACCGCCCTCGCCCGCCCGTCTCGACTGCACCTGCAAACCAACCGTGGAAGCCGAGATCCTTGGTATGAGCCTGCATGGACGGCAATTGTCTGTCGCGGCTCTCATGCCCCTGGACAAACGCAATCTGCGACCGACAACGTGCCGAGCTTACTTCGAACGGTTCAGCACCCTCCACGCTGGCCGTCGTAACAGCACCCTCCAACTTGAGGTTGATTGGCGTCGGCACGTCCTGCTGCTCAGACGCCGCCGCGACCATTGAGCCAACGGCGCAGGGATAGCTCGTCGCCGTCGTCGCCCTCTCGTCTAGTCGACCAAGCCCAAAGAATTCGTCTTCGTCGAAATCCCCAGGCGCCCCAAACTATGACAAGTCACCATCCACTACCAGGCCGCCCACCCTCGCGCCCTCTAGTCGTCGCAGTGCGCAAGCCAGCACATCCATGCACAGCATAACCTTGCCCATCACCCGAGCTGCCATCGCGGCCAGGAGTGGAACCCCTACTGGACTGGGAGTCGACAGCCACAAAAGCAACACAGGAAGGCAGGCCACTCGATCTCCCCCTGTCGGAATGCACTTCGGCAGCCATGCGAAAAATAAGGGGCGACCCAACGATCGAGCCCCCCTCCCCCCCCCCCCGCGCACACGCGCGCGCACGCGCGCACTCTCGCACACACGCACACACACACACATACACATACACACACCCACACACACACACACACGCGCGCGCACACACACACACACACACACAGGAATGCACCTCGATGGCCACGGGAGCAGTAAGGGGAGGCCCAGACCCAGCGCACGATCTCCCCCCATCGGAATGAACATCGATGGCCATGGGAGCAACGAAGGAGGACCCATCCCACGATCTCCCCCCATCGGCGCTCCCACCCCCTGCGAGGCGCGCCGCATGCGCGGTGGCACGCGCCGCGAGCCCTCCACCGTCGCCATGGAGTGGTCGAGCAGCTGCCCCTGGCCAGGGGAGGTGCGCAGGGTGCTCGAGCATCGCCCCGTCCGCACCAGCGGTCGGAGACGCCCGAAACCTGTTGCCCTTCAGCTGCAGCTGACGAACCTGCGCCTCGAGCTCCTTGATATTGGCCGGAGCAGCCTGCCCGGCTTCCCCGTCCGATCATTGGTGCAGGACTTGCAGAACCAGCGGCTAGCTTGCTCATGCCGCGTGCCCATCGCCAGCTTGAGACGGGGGGATCTGCTCCAGCAGGAGCTCACTGGATGCTCGAGCCGCCTTGGCAGGCTGACCCAAGCGTTTATTAAGAATGTCGGGCGGAAGGCCTCGGCACTGCCGCGGACTAGCGGCATCCACGCTGTTCAGCGCTAACATCAAAACCTTCAGCCAAAATGGCTACGGAGAAAAGGAAGGCTTGATGGAACAGGATACGTGGAGCATGAGGAGGAGGCATATGTAGCATGCAGGAGAGCACGACGACAAGACGAAACAAGAGGATATGAGTAGGACAAGGAGGAGGACGGGGAGGAGGAGAAACGACGTGGAAAACAAAGGAGCTGAAGGATGATGATCACTCGTGTGTCCATGCTGCGAGGAGGAGGAGGCGGAGGAGGCGGAGGAGGCGGAGGATGAGGTCCGTGAGGGAATCCAGGAGGAGACTGCGCCAGGCGGAACAGGGACGCTGAGGAGAGGAGTCAGCGGGAGCAGCAATTGCACGAGGAAGAGGGAAATTGGAAGTAAGGAGGGCGAGGAGGAGGAGGAGGAGGAGGTGGAGGAGGAAGAGAAGGGGGGAACGCTCCGCTCGCTTGTGCAATTCGGGAGGAACGGCATGCGCACGATGGGGGCAACGCACGAAACGTCTGACTCCAACTGTTCTCGCCATTTTCCCACCGACCACGTGAGTTCACAGCTCTCTGCCTACGTCCGCTCGCAGATCGATTCGATTCGGCCAAGCTTTTCCGTGCCTTGCCACGTGGGGGGTCCCCGCAGCACGGCTGGACTCGCCTCGAAGATTCATGAGTGGTCGGGCCAGGAGCGCAACGAGAAATGTGTAATGGTCGGTATGCGGATGTAAGTGTCGGAGTTTTCTGATACAGTCGACTTTGATTTGTAGGTCGACCGTGCCAAATCACACGCACTCCTGTGTCCTGCTTACCCGACCTACGCAACCCGCACGTCCTGTGGCGTTCTGGGGCCACGCTGCCGTCGGAAGAGGATTGTGTCCTCCCGCGTGTCCGCTCCAATCAAGTCTGACTGTAGGGGGTCCTCTCGTTTGCTTTGTGCGATCGCACGCACAGAGAGCGCACGTGACCTCCTTAGGATCCGCGGCTGGCGGTCGGCAGATTTGCGACGGAGACCTGGGAGTCTTTACGAAGTTGCCCTTTGTCCATCGATCGAGCGTGGCGCCAGCGCTTGCCATTTCCAATTTGCACCTACTCATTACTCATGCTCGGGCCCATCATGTGCATACCGTTTTCTGTGTGGGCACGTCAGGGGTCGCATTCAACGGAACGCTCTCCCAGCAGGTGCCCTTGCCTAGTTTCTTCATGTTGGGTGTCTCGTGCCGTCGCGATAGGTTCGAAGGTGCGCCCCAGACCAGTCAACGTTCAGAGATGCGCTATCCTGCGCACGTTCGCAATCACGACCGTTACCCCCATCATTATCATCATTGTCGCAACCATCGTATCTGCAGTCGTTTTGGTTTCATCATGAACGACTCTTGCTTGGAGGCCCTGGGGAATAGCACGCCGAGCCCCGAGGATGATGTGCTTGCCAGATGTTTGGACAATTTGTCGAATGGCGATTCGGTTAAAAGCAGCCCCAGCCCGTTGGGAACATGTCTGGATAATCTGCCAGATTGCGGGAGCAGCAGCATCAGCTCCCCTGGATTCTCCCCGTTGTTGCCAACGTGTTGGAGGAGCGATTCAGAGGAGGGCCCGGACGATCCCAAAGCTGCTGCCCTCGCGGACAAGCAGATTGTGCCCGCTGGCGCCTCCTCGGGCCTGCAGGTTTCGGCGGCGCCCCGAATGGGGTGGGGGGGGGAGGGGGGGCTTCTTAGAAGGAAGGGTACTTCTTAGAAACCCTCAGCCGCCAGAGGATTTCTAAGAAGCACCGTGCCTTCCAAGAACCCCCCCCCGCCCCCCCCTCGGCGCGCCGCCAGAGGTTGCGCCGCTCGGCGCCGTTGCAGCGCCCCATATGTTGGAGAGCATCCGAGATGTATGTTGCGATTGCAGGCGGCACGACCAACTTCACGAGGCCTACGCTGCTGTGGCCAATCATTTTTTCGTTGAAAAAGATTTGTTCTCGAACAACACAGTTGAGGCTAAGATGCTCGGCGTCTCCCCCAGGACCTTGCGAGGTTTGCGGAGCGCTGCGGCTGCAATGGCAATAGAATACGAGAGGGATGTATGGTCTCGTCTGGAGCATACTATAGCTAACCATGACGCATATACCATGAGCGTTTATTTCGAATTTGTTACGTATGATGGCGTCGATATGCACTTGACGTCTACTGACGTCCCAGCAGAAACAGTAAAACTTGAAGCGGGCCGCCTAGCTCATGCACTCGGCGCTGGGACGTTGTCTTTGCCAGGCGATGTTATCGAATGGCCTTCGGCCCAGCCCGCCATCGTGCCTGGGCTGTGGGTACGAAGCCTAGTGGATGTTCGTTGGGATCTCGTGGGCGGCCTTTTTCGGGGGCCTCTTGGAAACAGTTTTGCAGCGTCATGGGGGGCGTTTTGGGGCTTATTCCGGGCCTCTTGGTGACCTTTTGGTGGTCTCTTGGGGCCTCTTGTAGCCTCTTGTGCCTCTTAGGGGCCTCTTGGGGCGGAACGTTCGGATTGTCGGTTATCGATCCCTCTCTTGGGCCCCTCTGAGGGTTTGGGGGCCCTCTTGGGCCGTCTTGGAAGCCTCTTGGGCCGTCCTGGGGCGGCCCAGGGGGCTTCTTGGGCCGTTTTGGACCTTCGGGGGCTCGAGAAGCCGAGGGCCCCACAATCATTGAACACGAATGGGACCTCAGTGATTCTGCCCTCGTGGGAGGGCTTTTGGAGCTCTCTTGCAGCGTCTCGGAGGCCGCTTGGACCCTTTCGGGGCCGTCCTGGGCGTCGTCGTGGGATGTGTGGGCGTCTCGGGGCCCGCGTCGACCGTTTCGAGGGCCTCTCAGGGCCCTCTTGGCCATTTTGGGGGGCCTGCTTGGACCCCGAACCAATCGCGGGGGCAGATGCGCTGGAACCCAGGGGAACCGCGGCAAGCCCCAGGATATTTCAACATTTTGGGCTTGGGCCCCTTAAAGATTCCACTGGGCTGCTCACAGTCAACCCGCATAGTAGGGATCAGGAATTTCCCAAGGCCGCCCTTGCATCCTTTCCCTTCGGCCCATCCCTGGCCGCTCTCGATGGCAACGCCCCGCCCGCAAAGTGTCCACAGCATGGCCTTCCAGTGTCCTTGCATCACTATCTCGCGTCCTTTCTTTTACTGGTTGACTGCAAGGGATTCGGCAAAGGACCCCAGGACACGCCCATTCCGTGTCCATCGGTGCGGCTGCGGATAGTTGAGCATGATACGACCGCTCGTCCTCCTTACCCGGGCCAGAGGAGGACCGCCCCAGGGAAAATCTTACAGTCCGAGGGAACCGTCGCAATGCTGGTGCAGCACCAGGGCGAGTTCATTCTTATCCAACGGCTTACCGCCACGCCCGCGCGCCAGTCCAGCACCGTGGGTCGCGACTTTGCAAGGGCCCGACACTAAACAATAACGTGTGGCATCTCGCGCCCTCTTGCGCGCGGAAGCTGTGACGTGTGACCCGCTCTCCCACCCCGTGGCAGCGCAGAGTTTCATGATGATGGTGGCGCACGTGATGGTGCGGATGTTGATGGTGCGAATGGCGATGATGATGCTGATGACGATGATGATGCTGATGGTGATGATGGTGATGATGATGATGATGACGATAATGGTGACGATGCTGCTGAAAATGATGAAAATGATGGTTTTGAATGTCGCGATGGCAAAGGGCAATAATGACGATGCTCGCCGCGATGGTAAGACCCAGCGAGTGGCGCATGCAACGATCATATACGGTTCTTTGGGCGGACGACAAGGAACCTTAACATTATGATGCTCACGTAGGCCACGGCGAAATTGGAGTTTAAGATGATGGCGGCGGGCGGGGGGATGATGGCGATAAGGGGGGCCGTCGCGCGCGACGCCTGGCGCTTCCACTGTGTGGAAGCATGTTCGCAGTGATTTCGGTCGGCTTTTCAAAGCGTCGTTGCCTCCTGGTGTCCTGGGCCCCGTTGGACCTTTTTGGCGCCCCCTCTCGGGGAAATAGCGGGGTTCGTTCGGGCAGCGCTAACGCCTTCAGGCCGTCTGGGTGAAGTTTTTTTCAGGGCCGCCGCATTGGAGCCGTCGCCTGGTTTTCCAATGCCGCTCGGGTTCCGTGGTTTTTTTTCAGATATGGTTTCTGGTTTGCTTTGGGTTTATATTGCGCCGTCAGGGGGCCTCCTTGGCCCTGGGCAATGTCGGGGGCCGTTTGGGCTACGTTCGGGCCCCCGCGGGCCATCTGGAGCCCATGTTGGACGTCTCTCGGGGTGCATCGGTTTGGCGGAAGCCCGACAGGGTGAGGATTCTGCCGCATCTCAAGAATTTGAACGACATGTTATGTTTAAGTGTTGGCCTCTTGGGGCCGTTTCCGGGGGTTCATCGGTCGGCCCGCTTGCGCAGTTTCGGACGGCGTTTTGGGTCGTAATGGGGCCGTACTTGGCCACTTCGGGGCAATTCTTGACGCTTCGCGTAGCAGTGGCAGCCCATCCAGCTAATGTCCAAAACCGGTTTTAAAAATGATGACCCCCCTCCCCCCCCGGATCCCGACTGCAGTTAATTCGCATCCGAATAACTATGTGTCTTATCTGTCCCCCTCGGAAACATCCCATGGATGCCGATCGATGCCATGTGTATATACCTCGGTACCAGGGAAAATGCCGATGGGGATGTTCCCGTCTTCGGATCAGAGAAAGATTTTTTACATGGGGTTTTCGCTATTGGGTTTTAGAATTCAACATCGCTCCCATGGTATAAAATCTATCCGATGTATGCCGCCGCGCGCGCGCGTTGGGCGCGCGCGCTGGCGGATGGCATTTGTGCATTCAGTGTCGTATGCCCACATTGGGATGTTCCCGTTTTCCGATCAGGGAATGAATTTTTACATTGGGTTTTCGCCATTGGATTTTAGAGTTCAACCTCGCTTCCGTCGTATCAAACCTATCAGCGGCATGCCGCCGCCGCGCGCGCGCGGCGCGCGCGCGCGCGCGCGCGCAAGCGTTGGCGATTGGCATGTGTGCATTAAGTGTTGCATACTCACATGGGGATGTCCCCGTCTTCCGATCAGAGAATGAATTTTTACATTGGGTTTTCGCCATTGGGTTTTGAAGTTCAACATGGCACCCGTGGTACAAAAATCTATCATGGGCATGCCGCCGCCGTGCGCGCGCGATGGCGACCATTCCGCGCTGTATATCCACATGGTGATATTCCCGTCGTCCGATAAGAGAATTAATTGATTTTTACATGGGGCTGCGCCATTGGGCTTTAGAGCTCAACGTCGCTACTGTGGCATGCAATCTTTCAGCGGTACGCCGCCGCGCGCGCTGGCGATTGGCATGTGTGCATTCGGCGTCGCATGTCCACATTGGGATGTTCCCGTCTTCCGATCAGAGAATGATTTTTTTTACATTGGGCTTTGGCCATGGAGTTTTGGAATTCAACATCGCCCCCATGCTATAAAACCTATCAGATGCATGTCGCCACCTCGCGCGCGCTGGCGATTGGCACTTGCGCATTCGCTGTCGCATGTCCACATGGGGATGTTCCCGTTTTCCGTTCAGAGAATGAATGTTTACATTGGGTTTTTGTCATTGGGTCTTGGAGTGCAACATCGCCCCTGTCGTATCAAATCTATTAGCGGCATGCCGCCGCCGCATTCGCGCTCGCTGGCGATTGGCATTTTTAGCATTCAGTGTCGCATATCCACATGGGGGTGTTCCCGTCTTCCGATCAGAGAATGAATGTTTACATTGGGTTTCCGCCATTGGGCTCTGGAGATCAAGTTTCGCCCCGTGGTATAAAATCTATCAGCGGCATGCCGCCGCCGCGCGCGAGCGAAATGTCGCCCCGTTGCGTAAAATCTATCAGCGGCATGCCGCCGCCGCGCGCGCGCGACGGCATACGGCAGACGGCGCGCGTCGTGACATGCACAAGTACACATGGCACACCGCCACAGACACAACGAGCACCACTGGAATTACCCAAAGTCATCTACAGGCAAGCAGCACCTGTGCACTGTGTCTGGACCCGCCCCCTGCTTCACAGTCGTGATGCGCTCTGTCTGCGCGAGTATCTGTCGTGAGCCATACGGATCTGCACATGCGCAAGTACATATGGTGAGAGACCGGCGCATGTCGTGATGAGGTTGCCTTGACGCCGTCGGTTTCTTCACATACACGTGTGAATGATGAGCACGCGCATGTGCACTGCGTGGCGATGCCGCGGTAGTGTGCGCGCAGTGAGTACATTTCCACTGCGATATATGTCGGGAGCCAGGCTATCTCGGCACCACCAGCGCGTATCCAATCAGTCTTCCACTGTTCAAGTATCTGTCGTGACGCACAAGTGTGAATGCCGGGATATATGTCGGTAAACCCCTGTTTGATGAGGTTGCCTTGACGCCGTCGGTTTCCTCACATTCACGTGTGAATGATGAGCGCGTGCTTGTGCATTAAGTGGCGATGCCGTGATAGTGTGCACGCAGTGGGTACATATGTGATACCGTGATATATGTCGGGGGCCATTCTGGGCCTGCGCCACAGTTGCGTGTTCAAATGAAGAGCACGTAAGAACAATTGTAGTATTTGTACGTACCCCCTTGAATTCCCGATGTAACAGTTGTAGTACCTGTACGTACCCCCTTAAATTCCCGATTTAATCCGTCCTCCTCTGCACAAGTATCCGTCGTGACGTACGCGTGTGAATACCGTGCTATATGTCGGTCAACCCCTGCCTGATGAGGTTGCCTTGACGCCGTCGGTTTCCTCGCCCTCAACACGTACATGGACAAGCCCTCTCTGATGAGGTCGCGTGGACGCCCCAGCGCCTCGCGGAACCCTTCCCCCAGGTTCAGGGCAGGGGGTGCGGGGAGGGTCAAGGCCCCCTCCTCGCCCGTAAGCCGCATCGCTCACCCCCGCCCGCCCTTCCAACACATACGTAGCACCCGAGCCTGGCCCGAACCGCAGCATATTCAGCAGTCGTCTTTGGATGGGCACTTACTGGGGGCGAATCCGGTTCCGCCGCCGCCGCGCCGCCGCCGCCGCCGCCGCTGTCCGCCGCCGCCGCCGCCGCTGTCCGCCGCCGCCGTCGCCGCCGCGCCGCCCGCCGCCGCCGTCCGCCGCCGCCGCCGCCGCGTCGAATCGCCGCTGCCGCCGCCGCTGCCGCCGCCGCCGCCACCGCCGCCGCCGCCGCCGCCCCCGCCGCCGCCGCCGCCACCGCCGCCGCCATCGCCGCACCCGCCGCAACCGCTGCCCCCGCCGCAGCCGCCGCCACCGCCGAGTGTACTCTGTATTGGTTTTGACAAGGATGGCGCGGGGGGGCCGCATCGGGTTCGCTGCGCATGCTCCGAATTGGATGCAGATTTTTTTTAATCGTTCTTTACAAGGGGTGGTGGGGGGGGGGCCCGCATTGTCCTTGGTTGGCTCCCAGTCGCCTGGGGGAGGTGGTGTATAGTAATATGGAACAAAAATTAATTTTCCCTTGGAGTGGGAGATGGGCGTTGGAAGAGACACAGCCCTAGACCACCGACGCCTAGAGGGATGGTGGGATTCTGGGCGGGCTTAACCTACGACACAACACTTTGCATGCACCTCAAAGCGCCGAGGGGCGCGGTGGCGGATCGTGGGCGCGCATTTGATATGGCTGCAGACGTCCGACCGGACAACCGCTGCTTGCTTGGTAGCGATGTTGAACCAGCAACGTTTGGGTACACATTACAAGGAAAGTTTCGGGCGGAAAATCCGCATCGCGTCCGTGGACGGGTACCTTGCCAACAGCAAGGCGGAGAAATCTATACAACGGGAGCGCGGTGATTGGAAATCGTTGATATTGTTGTGCAGCTCTCACAAAATAGGGGCGGCAACGCACGAGAGGGTGTACGAATTGTTTGGTGATTATTTCACGGGGTTGAAGGCCACCGTCGCTACTTTGCACCAGCCTGGCCAAATGCGCCATTTGAGGAAAGCTTGGATGACAGTTATTGATCGCAATTTCGAGTTTCTCCAGTCGCCAATCGGCGCGGATGCTGCAGAATACAAGCTTCGCATGCTCGACGTGTTCGTGCCAAACATTCCTTCGAACAGAGCCAAGCGGCAGGCTTTGCTGATGTGCGCCCCTGGAGACTGGCGGGTGCAAGGTGTATTTTTTGCCCGCGCCGTGGGGACTGGAACTAAGAAAGAGGCGCTTGACTTTTTGAAGTCTAATTCTCGCGCTCCGCGTATCCCCGCCAGCCCACCCAGGCACGATCGGGCGCCATTCCCGAGGCCTCTTCGAAACTATATTGGGCCACGCTCGGCTAGAGGCTATCGGAGATTAACCTGGGCCACGCCAAGCTACCTGGGGGAATCTTGAGGTTGCCTCGAGGTCTCTTTGGGGGTCTGTCGGAAGCCTTATTTTTTGAATGTTGCAAACCAAACGCATTGGGGGGAAAAGTGATTCCTGCCCGCTTCAGCGCTTGCTTTCGCAGCCCAGCCACACCAGGCAAAAGTATCGGTTGCGGTGGAACCTGTGGAATACCCAGCAGGGTCAACGCCAACATGGAAGGCCTCGCATCGAAGATCGGCCAACACGCCAAACAGACACGCAACGAGCGGCAGCACGCAACGAAAATTCTGTCGGAGGCTATATGGAGCCACGTTCGACCCCCTGGGCCTCCTGGGGCCACTTCGCGGGGAGGACGGGGGAAGAGGAAGTGGAGAAGGCGATGGAGGATGGGGGCAATTATGAGAGGAGGAGGATGGGAGGAGGAGGAGCGCCAGGGGGGGCGAGGCGGAGGAGGAGGAGGAGGAGGAAAAGATACCGGAGGGAGTGGGGGCCGCTGGAAGAGGAGGAGTGGGAGATGTATTCGGCAACCTTGGGCCATCTTGGAGTTCACTCGAGTCTCTGTGATGTTTTTGTGTCTGAAGCCTTTGCCTGGAATCCCACCCTACAATGGTACGTCGGCTGCGTCGTGATTAGCGGTTCTGTGTTAATGTGACTGGTGATTCAGGAGTGTTGTGACTGGTCATGCGGCTGCGTCGTGTCTGGTGACCCAGTTGCGTCGTGACGGGTGACTCGGCTGCGTCGTGCTTGGTGATTCGGTGGCGTTGTGACTGGTGATTCGGTGGTTACGTGACTTGTAACTCGACCGCGTTGTGTCTGATGACTCGGGTGCGTCGTGTCTGATGACCTCGGTTGTGTCGTGACTGGTGACTTCGATTGCGTCGCGACTGGTGGTTCGATTGTTTTTTTGTGACTGGTTGCTCGGGCGCGCTGTGACTGGTGATTCGTCTGCGTTGTGACTGATGAATCGGCTGCGCCGTTACTGGTGTTTCAGCTGTGTCGTGGCTAGTGGGGAGGAGCAAGCAACAACACGGAGGAGAAACAGAGAGATGTATCATGTGTTGAATCACGTCGCACTCAATTCGCCCCCCCCTCGTCGTCGTCGCTGTCATCGTCGCCGTCTTTTTGTTGGGGGCCACCATCGTCGTCGCCACCGTCGTCGTCGCAGTCGCTATTGGGGGCCACCGTCGTCGTCGTCACCGTCGTCGTTGCTGTCGCTGACGTGGAGCACCGTCGTCGTCGTCGTCGTCGTCACCGTCGTCGTCGCTGCCGCTGTTGGGGGCCACCGTCGTCGTCGCCGTTGTTGTTGGTGACCACCGTCGTCGTCGTCACTGTCGTCGTCGCCGCCGCTGTTGGGGGTAACACAAATCGTCGTCACCGTCGTCGTCGCCGCCGCTGCTTGGGACAACCGTCGTCGTTGTCGCCGTCGTCGTCGTCGCAGTCTCTATTGGGGGCCTCCTTCGTTGTCGTCGCTGTCGTCGCCGCCTCCGTGTTGGGGGCCACCGTCGTTGTCGCCGTCGTCGCCGCCGTCGCTGTTGGGGGTCACCGTCGTTGTTGTCGCCGTCGTCGTCGCCGTCGCTATTGGGGGCCACCGTCGTTGTCATCGCCGTCGTCGCCGCCACCGCTGTTGGGGGCCACCGTCGTCGTCGTCGCCGTCATGGGCGCCTTCGTTGTTGGGGGCCACCGTCGCCGTCGCCGACGTCGCTGCCGCCACTGTTGGGGGCCACCTTCGTCGTCGCCGTCGTCGCCGCCGCCGCTGTTGGGGGCCACCGTCGTCATCGTCGCCGCCGTCGTCACTGCCGTTGTTGGGGGCTACCGTCGTTGCCGTCAGCGTCTTCGTAATCGTCGTCACCGTCGTCGTCGCCGTCGCTGCTGGGGGCCACCGTCGTCGTTGTCACCGTCGTCGTCACAGCCGCTGTTGGGGGCCACGGTCGTCGTCGCCGTCGTCGCCGCCGCCGCTGTTGGGGACCATCGTCGTCGTAGTCGCCGTCGTCCTCGCCGCAACTGTTGGGAACCACCATCGCCGCCGCCGCCGCTGGTGGGGGCCACCGTCGTGGTCGCCGTCGTCGCCGCCGCTGCTTTTGGGGGCCACCGTCGTCGTCGTCGCCATCGTCGCCCCCCTGATGCGAGCTCAGCTTTCGCCGAGGCCAGGTTGGAGGGACCATTTTGAGTGGTATGGTTTTGTGGTTTGTGGGCTCGCAGGGGAAGCGTGGCCCTCCTCACCCACCCGAGCTAGAACAGGGTACTCGTCAGGCTGTGGTGTTGGTAACGCCTGCAATCGGTGAGGTTTGACGCTGCTGGGGGACCTCACCCCCCACCACCTTGTTGACAAGATACGCTAAAGTTGTTCACCTAAGCACCAGGGCGGGGGGAAGTTCCATCACTTCGCAAATGAGCTCCTGTCACGGCGGTTTCATCTGGGCCGTCTTGGAGTTATCTTGGGACCTTGCAGCCCATCCGAAAACAAATTGCCAGGCGAGTTGCCTTGATCAGGGAAGTGCGGGAGCATGCAGTGTAATAGCCGTCTTGGGCGCGTTGTCTCGGAGGCTTTGGGAGCCATCTTGGGACTTTCTTGGGGTCCACGCGGGCCCTCTTGGGGCACTTTGGGGCCCTCTTGGGGTTCTGTTGAAGCCTTTTTGAGGCCCTCTTGGGGCTCTGTGTGGGAGGGGGGGTCTGGGAGGCATTTTTGTCCCCCTCCGGCCCCGCCGTCGTGAAGCAAGGGTGTCCCGAAGCCTTGCCGTCGTGAGACAAGGGTGTCCCGAAGCCTCGTTGTCGCGAAGCAAGGGCGTCCCAAAGCTTGGCCGTCGTGAAGCAAGGGTGTCCTCCAGCCTCGCCGTCGCGAAGCAAGCGTGTCCCAAGGCCTTGCCGTCGCGAAGCTCGGGTGTCCGGAAGCTTCGCCGCCGTACAGTTGCGGATTACCTTGCAGCGCCTGCGCCACCTGGAATCGAGCCCATCTTGGCACCCAGGAGTCAAACAGATGGGAGGTCCTGAATTCAGGACGCTCCCCTCGGAGGCTCAAAATTTCAGTCTTGGGGGCCTTTTGAGTCGCTCTTGGGGCGCTCTTGGGCGTACTTGGTGCTCTCTTGGGCCCCTTTTGGGCCCCTCTTGGGGCTCTCCTGGGCTGTCTTGGGGCCATCGTGAGGCCTGAAACGCCGATGGGCAGCGAAAAGACGAGAAGGCAACCAACATTGATTTTCCGTAGGTTTTGGAGCCGCTTGGGCCTCTCGGTAGGGCCTCTGGAGGTATTCGGATGACACTTGGAACCGGGTTGGGGCCCGCATTGCGGCCTCTTGGATGTGATCCGAAGGATATATGGGGCTATATCGGCCTACCTTTGACCATTTGGAAGCCATGTTGGGCTCCGTCGGGCCCTCTCGGAGCCATCTTGGGCCATCCTGGGCGCTCCAATGGGTCGCGACCCCCCCCTTCCCCTCCCAGGCCCAGGTGAGGGGGGAGGGGGAGGGGTAAACCCCTCCCCCGAGCCAGGAGAGGAGGGATTCGGGCAGATCGAAAACACAACTCGTTAATCCGTCGACGCCCAGAGGGCTGGTCGGATTTCTTACCGTACGTAGCAGGGCGCAGACCGTACAAATGGGCTGACAACAGATGGACTGGTCTTGACGCCAGTCTTGAGGACCTGGGCGTTCCGTTCATCCTGCACAATATGTTGCCCGCTGTGTTTCTAGAGCTCTTGCACCAACAGTACCCTCGCGAATTTCCCCGTCCGCCTGATGGCATGCACCATTCTATGTTGTCCCTCATGGACGCGCCTCCTGCTGCAGTTGCAGACGATTGTCAGGCAAACGCGGGGGACAGCTTCGCATTGGAAAATTCACAGAACAGACGGACGGCCGCTCGCTTCATGCGTTCTTGTTCGGCTGCGTACGTCCTCATCATGCGTCTGGTCCTGATCCCGATGGATTACTACCTCCGGAAAGAGTTCGCAATGGCCGGCAGTTCGTTCGACACTATGCAGCAACATAAGGCCACCATAGGGTAAAGACAGCATTCGGCCAACCAGCGCACACCATCGCGTGTACACAATGGGTCAACGCGGCGTTCTGGACTGCACGGGGCGCCATGCGGCGCTGATTGTGCCGCAGGAAACCATGGGGCACCTGGGGTAATCCTATCCAGCGTGGCCGTCGCGCGGCACGGTGGTGGGCGGGTGGGCGGGTGGGCGTTGGGAGGAGGAGGAGGAGCTGGAGGAGGAGGAGGAGGAGGACCAGTGTAAACCCAAGATGTATTAACGACGTTGCAAAACACACTCTTTCCAAGCTTCTTCTTCGGAGGCTCCGTATAAAAATGGTGAATTTT